GCAAACTTCGGGGCCCGAGAGAAAAAGAAGTTGACATCCTGCAAGCACTTACTACTGGTTTGTAGGTAGTTCACGAGTACTCATGGTATCAAGGGGGCTGGAACAATTTGTACAGTAGGGGGCTGAGAGCTGTTGAACTAACCTGGAAAACCAATATAGAATGGAAACCACTTTAAGCTGGGGGTGCTGCACACCTCCTGCATCCCTTGTTCCACCAGCTATGCATGGTAGTAGGCATTACTGCTAGTAAACATTTTTTTAAAAGCAAACAAACACATAGTCCTGCAGCACCTAGTAGTATTTTCGAAGTTGGGCTCTATAACACTTGAGTAGATCTGATGTATTTCATCCAGCAGAGGGCACTCTTATGTATATATGTGTGTATAAGCTTCAACTGCTCAATGGCTAAACACAGGACTTGAGTTTCCAGTGAGCATCTCCTAGGAACAATAAATTAATTGAAAAATGTTATGATGCCTTTATTCAAAAGCCAGGTTTTTGGAGAAGTGTGGGAGTTGAGACATTAGGGTTACATACAGCAGGCTAATAAATACACAGTAAGGTGGGATTAGTATACTATAGTAAAATTGTGTCATACAGATATGCTGTTTTGCAAAGAGAGATGGAAAGTGTATGGGTGTTGAATGAGGAATTAGTGTAATGTTTTCTACCGGATTTTAGTGAGAAAATTAAAGTTGTAGCAATAGCTGCCAGCTAGGAGGAGAAAGATTAACTGCAATCCTAATGGTAACAAAAGATGTAAAAACACACTAGGTCTCCACACCAGGTCTCCATACAGATAACTTATATTTGTGAACACCTACTCACATAGCTAGTCCCACTGACCTCAGTGAAACTATTTCTGTTGGTTTACCAGCATCAGTAAGGGCTGCACACCTGCGCATAAGAAAGAGAAGGACAGGAAATGACAGTTGGTCCATTATACCTTCCCTATTTGTCTTCCTTCCCACCTGTGCCTTTCCAGACTTCTAGCTCTCTATAGAGCTCACTGAAGGTTCATGATTCATTGATCTTGTTTGGTAAACTTTATTAGTCCTTTAATTTTAAATACTACAACCTTTATAGTTTGCTTTCCTAATTGTACAGGGTTTTTAGATAGCTTTATTTAATTTTACATTTTAAGGCCCTATTTGAATTGCAGGATGATTGTCAACTAGTTGTGGCTGAATTGCAGATGAGCTATTGAAAACTGCAGACAAATAATAATGGACCTTATTATCTGTGTTAATAAAATCCATTATTACTTTTTCCATTATATTCTGCTGGCAGCAGCCCAGGGTTGAAGGCAGGGGCTCCTGCTGCCAGAATTGTGGAATCTGCAGCTTCTGCAATATCATACATTAAGTAGGGACTTAATTTTTTTCATTAAATAAATAAATAAAAATATATATGTGCAGCTGCTTTAGTATTTATAAGTGAATTCTTTTTCTAGAGGAGTCATTTCATGCTCTATCTACACTCAGGAGAAATTGTAGACCTAGTTTACTTAGATATTTTTGTTAATTTATTTTTCATAATTTGTATAGCCATGCTGCCTAGGAATCCCAGTCATGGACCTGTACCCCATTGTGCTGGGTGCTCTATAAGCACAATAGATTATTAGTATAATTTGAATTCCCCATATAGAAAGGTGATTGCTCCCTAATTGTGAAGAGAATGGAGCTATTAAAAGGAGAGTCTGTTGGTTTCTTGGGTTTCCAGCCCAATGTACTTTTTTTAGGCCAAAGGGTATTTTTGACAGAGAAAAGGATGGTGATCCATTGTTGCCTGTGTACCATCCAAAGATGTTCAATTTTGTGTGGAATACTGAAGTGAGGCCCAGATGAGCGTGCTCACAGCAGGTTGGAATATTGAATGATTCTATCAACAAGCCTCTACTAGTCAGTTCCATGAAGCACAATGCTGACTGCAAATGGTAATTCTCAACAATTTATAAATCAGTCAGAGAGATTAATGGCTTTTCATGGGGATAGCAAAAAAACTCTGTCTAAACCCAGAACTATCCTCCTCCTAAATTTCAAAGTCCTGTTACAAGCCAGGGAGGCATTAGAGCTGTTCAACAACAACAAAAAGTTGGAGTTTGTTTATAATGAGAAACGTTATAATGAAAAGTGTAAATCCACCATAAGGTAGAGATTGTCACTTCTATTCCTATAATAGCCTCTTCTAGTGCTTTTTAAATATAACAGCAACATCATATTTTCAGGGGCTTATCATTTACTTTCACTAAATGTACTTCTAGCTAAAAGGCAGGATATAAGGTTATCTCCCCAGTGAGCATTTTCTTTTAAATTAAAAAAGTATTTTTGCCCTTTTTAAATTTTAAGTAGTGATGTGGGGAATGTTTTAGTTTTATTTGTATTTCTTTATTGAATGCTATTGCCACTAAAAGGTGCCTGTGTTTTTATAACTAAAATAAAATTTTGCAACTAAATCCCAATATCTCCATTGTTTTATAAAAATAAGTTTTTAAAAAGTATGTTTAGACAGTCTGAGGTCTGAACTACAGGCGCTAGACTGGTACAGTTGAAGTGATGCAGCTATGCTGCTGTAATGATGTAGTGTAGACACCTCCTACATTAACAGAAGGTATTTTTCCACTGGGCTGGTAACCACTACCAGGTCCACTGGCAGCAATTCTGGGCCCTTGGGCAGAACAATCAGGAAATTGTTTCAAAATAAAGGGCTTGGTAGTGTAGATGCTCTGCTTGTTATTTCAAATTAACTCCCTAGTGTAGAGCAGTGCAGAGAAGGATCTGAAAAACAAACTAGAAGTTTCCAGAAGATAATCACATTTTGTGTAGAAAGTTATTAGAGTGCTGTGACTGACTGGGTGTGGTCACAGAAGACCCCTTGGGACTGTTCCTTGGTGTGCTCATTATGTCACTGACCACCACCTTCTTGCTCTCTGGGGCTTTCCACCATCCTGTCCTGCAGGGGCAATGCAGACACTGAACCACTTCAGTTCTGGGAGAATGCAGTTCTACACCATCCCAATCTCAGGATATGGTGTCAGAGTCTTTCTTGGAGCAACAGAGGTTGGTCCTGGTGCGTACCACCAGAATCAGAGACCTTCTCAACCAGAGAAATTGGTTGGATCCCTCCCCCGCCCCTCTCGGTGCTCAGCCACCGTATTGGGCTCACCAACCTGCATGTCCTCTGGCATTTACTCCAGGGCTTTCCTTGAATTGGTCCTAGGGGGAGGGTGCTCTCTGCCCTCCCTTCATCACTGGCCCGGTGGACATCACATCACTATTGTCCTCTGTCTCATAATCCTCCCCAGCTGACCCCTCCTTGGGCACAGAAGTTTTCATCTTACTGTATGTGTTTGTAAAGTGTTAAGTGTATATAAAGAATTGACTTTGTAAGAATTCAAGGTTGGTTCTTTCTTCAGTTCTGTGCCTAACACCTGTGTGTGCTACCTGGAATCTCACACATTCACCAAATGATTATTGCTGTTTTAACCATGCTTCATTTAACAGTGAGTTTTAGCTCCCTACCTCTCATTTATCGCAATTACAGTACAGTAATTAACAAGTATATGCAATTTAATGTAGCATAGGAGACTAAAGCATTAGCAGAAAAACGCTTGTTCAAATATTTGTCAGTTGTATTTTGTTAAAATGTGTTTACCTGATATCTGATCTCTGATGATGATGTATTCCAGAAGCAAGCAACCCTGCTCAGAATTGATTTATACAAAGCAATCCAACTGCTTTTCCTAGTGTTTGCACAGGTGCATTATCAAGGCAAGTGTATAGAAACTGTGTCTAATCTTATAGGGTTATATTGTGCCTGTTAGGCACTTCCTTATGTTAGGGCAGGTGCAGAATGGCACGCCCTCAGTGCAGATCCAGGAGGAAATGGGCTTGTTGCAGGAGGAGCATAGCTGTTGCTATGCCCTGCAGTAAGTGCAGCCTGTGACCTGCCTCCCTGGCCTTTGATTTGGGGAGTGGGATCATGGTCCCACCTTTTCTTTATCCTCTTTTGGAGTATCCTGGGCACAAGGATGCAGTCTCTGCACTGGATGGCAATTGTGCCCAGATACATATATGTTGTGCTGGGACACAACAGGGAACACTTTACTTCCCCAGCCCACATAGAGCAGCTGAGCATTTATCAGGCCCAAAGGTATTCCTGAGGTAGCTATAATATGTGGCATAGATATGTGGTAATTTTTATTTTATGTACAATGTCATGTCCTGTTGCCTTTCATTCTTTGGATGAGCTTGTTTTAAAAGTAGCAAGCTGTTTATTTAGAGTCTAATAAAGTTCACAATAGACTATATAATGCTAATAGGAGACACTAGCATTTGCATTTACTTGTACAGTGTCACTGCTGATTGTAGAAAATGAAACCCTGACTATAGAGATTTTTGTAGATATTCCTAAAAGTCCCCACATGCTTTAAAAATGACACTGTATGCTTTATATGATATTCTGATGCACCCCATTAGTAAAACCTTTGAGCATAGCAGCAAATATTTAATTCAGAGCCCTTTCAGAAGTGTATCTGCTCTGATGAATGAACAGCCCTTCCTAATATAGGTGTACATCTATTGCTGAAAGCTACTGAATCTGAAAAGAATATGGAATGAAAAATACTTATACCTGGATTTTTATTAGCTGGATGATAGAATCGCCTCTAATGCTAAGCTCTTGTTACAGAGGAATGTCTAATTCTTAGGTTTTTAGATCAGATAACTTACAGATTAATTGCTAGGTGTTTTTGCTGTTTTACCAGTGTTTTGGGCAAGGTATCAAAGAAAAAGCCCTTTCTTATGAGAGGTTTGCAACTTTGGCTTGAAGTTGAGTTTTTGTGTTTTGTTTTAATATGAAAAGGGAAGCAGGGTGATCCTGTGGATCCCTCAGGACACTGAAGTGGGAGCAGCTATTGTTTCTTAGTTTTGGAGGGACGCACTGTTTTGGACTGATTGAGGAAGTTACATCAGCATGCATAATGAAGCAGTGGGAGAGCTGCCTGTACTGTTTGGAAGTGGACACTATCTGTTCTCACGGTCTGACAAGTGGGCAACTGGCAGTAAAGAATTCTTCTTGAAAACATTTACTGTGTGTAAAATCACACATGCAAAAGAGAAGAAGGAAAGCTAGAAAAAATGTCAAGTGAAATTATTAGAATGTCATGGACTTCAGTACGGTTTGCATTGTCTTGACAAAGTGGATTTTATGGAATCATTTTTTACATTGAATTCACAACAGAGTAAGTGTCAACATGAATCACCGAGCTACAGCCCGGAAGACAAGAGGTGATAATTATCTGAGCATAAAGGTATGTGTAACACAGAAGCTGTCAGAATAATAATAATGTGCATGGTCATAAAAAGTATGTTTATTGACACCAGTAACCATTTTCTAATTATTTTGGAAAAGGAATCCAGAAGCCTTCTATTTTAGATGTTCAGTTTTCCACTCCTGTTGCAATCAGATAAATGAAGACAAACTTCTCTACATTTTTTTTAAATGTAAATGACAAATACACAGTTGGATAAGAGTAACTCAGTGCCTTTTGGCTAGCTGCATGGGAGAAAGCAATACATGTAGAAATAAGACTGATCATCTGCTAACTCAGTGTTGATAAATGGTTCTTTAGCTCAGAGCTGTGTAAAAGGAGCTTGCAAACTGCTTCTCATTGTGGGAGAAAAGGAATTTATTGCCTTAAGACTATAGACTGGGGCTTATATGTAGGAATGTCTGTTGGCTTAAAGAATGAGCATGGTTAGTAAAACAAGATAATCTTTTGAGTGTTAGATAAAAGAGCAGAAGCTGTTCTATATTTTTATGTGAATTGTTAAAATGTGTTGGCTTGTCGTTGAATCAGCTTTTACTCAGAGTTAAATTGAGCGTTCCCTTTGGCAAGTCGACTTTTACTACTCAGCAGTTCTTTAAATCATACTCGATATTTTGATAACATTAATTCAGAATAAAAGTGCGTTAAAACATTTGCAGTTACAGAGAGGGGAAACTGCATGATATTTAAAGCTTGTGAATCAAATGAGTTAACCAAGATGATATTTAAAGTAATATTTATTTAGAAACAATGGTAATATTCTTAGGATACAAACATTTTGTATGTTCTAAAAGGGAATTTTAAAAATACATAGCAGTAGGTGAGCCTGTTGCAGTATTGAAATATGTATTGCAACATTTATCTCGTAATGAGGATGCTTTGTAATAAGTTCTATTAATTCATAATTTGCCTAATGTTAGCTGATGCTGATTACAGCAGAACACAATAACCACAATAAAAGTTTGTTGTTTATAAATTACTGTGCTACTGTCCTGCTGCTTAAGATGTAAAATTGAAACCAAATGAACATTCGCAGTCAAAATTTGTTGAAAAGAACCCACTCAAGTTAGTAACTTCTCTCACTGTCTGGCCTAATGTGTATTCTTTTTTCTATATAAATGGGATATGGAAAAACCCTTTGGTTTCTTAATCATATGCTTGTTTTATACACTGACCAAATGTTAAGTACATGAGAGTTTTAAAGCATATGTGGAATGCTTCCAATGGTTCACAGCAAAGTTCAGCAGCTTTGACCTCAGTCAGGTGCACAACTGGGGGAGATAACATTTAGTCAGCTTGACATGTCAATCTATTGTCTTCCAGAGTAAGAAATGCTCTCAGACTAGTATTCTATGATCCAATGGTTTTGGTCTATGTGCGCCTTATTAAAAATTTGGTTTATCACTTTCTGTATGTGACATGAGTTAATATTAATTTCGCTTGAGGTGTCGATTGAATACTTTTTCTAATTGAGTTTAAAGAATGTCAGAGGCAAAAATCATTAACCGGTCATTTGACTTTGGGCTTAAATCAGCAGGTGGGCACAACTTTTGTTCTTATTGTCCATTGATCTACAGTGCTTTAGTTGCCATCGTGCAGCAAGTGGATGTTTGCTAGTGTGATAAAATTTTTATATGAAAAGGAGTTCAATTTTGGCTACTTTTACACCAAGTAAAAGTAACCTTTGTCCGTCCTTAACAGTAAGGCTATGTCTACACTGGCATGAATTTCCGGAACTGCTTAAAACGGAATAGTATTCCGTTTTAAGTTTTTCCGGAAAAGGAGCGTCTACATTGGCAGGCTGCTTTTCCGGAAAAGCCCTTTTCCGGAAAAGCGTCCGTGGCCAATGTAGACGCGCTTTTCCGGAAAAGAGCCCCGAGCGTCATTTTTGCGATCGGGGCTTTTTTCCGGAAAAGACTATTGGGCTGTCTACACTGGCCCTTTTCTGGAACAGTGTTCCGGAATAAGGACTTATGCCCGAGTGGGAGCAGAATAGTTTTTCCAGAATAGCGGCTGATTTTGTACAGTAGAGCATCGTTGCTTTTCCGGAAATTCAAGGGCCAGTGTAGACAGCTCGCAGCTTATTCTGGAAAAGCGGCTGATTTTCCGGAATAAGTGGCCCAGTGTAGACACAGCCTTAGATTATGTAGGTCAAATAAAGGACAGTAGATCTATATCTAATTTTATCTGTTTAAAATAATTATATTTTGATTTCTCGAAACTGATACTACTAGCAATACTGTAGTGTGGCCCGTTTGTTTGTGGCCCACTGTGCGGTTTGGGTTTATGTGGGGCTCAACACGTGGCCCATGGGTGGGAGCCAAAACAACGTGAAACGCGGCTTACAGGATCAATCGGAAAAGGCTTCCCCAGCCAACCGATCCACATCTAGACTACTGCGCTGTTCCGGATCAGCTGATCGTAGGCACAGCGTGGTGGCCATGTTTATTTTAATGAAGCGGGGATTATTTAAATCCCTGCTTCTTTGCCTATGCTGGATAAAGTAGTTTACATGGCTCCGTCGACGGAGCCATGTAATCTACACTACGAAGTTAATTCGAAATAACGGCCATTATTTCGAATTAACTTTAATAGCGTCTATGCATGCCAACCGCTATTTCAAAATTAATTCGAAATAGCGGAGCGCTTAATTTGAATTTGGTAAACCTCATTCTAGGAGGAGTAACGCCAAATTCGAAATAGCTGTTTTGAATTAAGTGCTGTGTAGACACTTAATTCGAAATAGGGGACCTCCAGCCTTTCCCAGGGAGCCCTGGTGGCCATTCTGGGCACAACCAGGAAAACTTACTCTCCTCTCCCCCAGCCCCGGAGCCATTAAAGGAGTAGACTCTGGCTACAGTGCCTGTGCCAGCTCCAAGCATGCCAGCCCAGAGCCAGCAGTGGCCAACGGGGCCCCCGCAGCCCTTCACCACTCCCCAGGAGCAGTCTGCCAGCTCCCAGGGGCCTGACAGGCTGGAGAAGGCAGGTGCGTTTCTGGTCCAGGGTGGAGAACATGGACTTTATTCAGGTTTGGGGGGGATGCCCCCAACGTCCATGATCTCCGCACTAGACGGAGGAATGCGGCCATCTATGACAGGATAGCTGCCAGCCTGGCCACCAAAGACCACATGCGAACCCAGGAGCAGGTTTGCATGAAAATCAAGCTGGTCCGGCGAGACCCCAACCCTGAGCCTTGAGCTTCCCCTCCCCCTTCTTCCCCTTGCTTCCCCCTTCCAGCTCCCTCCTCCCAGGTTTCCCCTTCCTCTCTCCCACCTCCTTTTCCCAGTCTCCCCAGAGGTTCATCCTCCCTCCCCCCAGTTTTGTTCAATAAACCCAGTTTCTGTTTTTGAACATACGTGTCTTTTGTTTGACATCAGGAAGGGGGGCTAGGGAGGGGTAAGTGGAAGGACATGAGGGAGGAATGGGGCACGAGCCCCTGGTGGGGAGGACAGGGGTGGCTCTGAGGAGTGGACGCTCTCCCGCAGCGCCTCCTGGATCCTGACAGCCCCCAGATGGACCTCCAGATGGCAGCCTGCAGCAAGTGCAGCCGGGCTGATGGCAACGATCCCACAAGACGCACCTGCATGCCCAAGAGCAGCACTGGCTTCATGTGGCTGAATGCTGTGGTGTCCCGAGTGTGGGCGCTCAGGGCACTCCAAGACAGGAGTGCTTTGGTGTCCCTCATTGAGGTAGACAAGCAAGTGGGGAACCCTGAGAACTGTCTGTCTGGGGTGGGAGTAGGGTCCCTTTAAGCATGGAGCTCAGTTAGCCTCAGGCAGCAGCCCCACACAGTAAATCCTGACCTGATGCCCTGACGGCACTAGTTCTGGCCAGCCTTAACTTCGGTTCAGGGTCCACTCAGTGTGGAAGCGCTATTTCGAAATAGGTTTTGTGTGCAGATGCGTTAATTCGAATTAGCTTAATTCGAATTAAGTATTTTGAATTAAGTTAACTCGAATTAACGCTGTAGTGTAGACGTGCCCTTACATATTATAGGTAAATTAGATAGAACCCCTGTGGTTCTGGGCAAGTCCCTATACTCTCTAGGTTTCAATTTCTTTTTCTGTAACAAAACTTACTCTGGACATAGTGAGGTTTAATCCAGTGACGTAGAGAGGGGGAACAGGAGGAGCAGTTGCCCTGGGTGCCACGCTAGGGGGGTGCCAATTTAGCTGCTGAATGTTATGTTGTTAACTTGTTTATGATTATTTCCTATTTTGCATATATTCCAACAGTCAACTGTGAAAAGTTTCAGCAAAATCTTCAAAAGGTAAATTGGACGATAGTTATGTTATACTGAAAGCGTTGAGGTTATACTGCAGGAAAGGTAGTGTGGCAATTTCTCTTGGTGAGACAAGTTTGTCGAATAAAATATATTATCTTATTCATTTCATTTCCCTAATATCCTAGGGCCAGTACAGCTACAATACCACTGCATACAATGTGTTTCAGGCCAGGTTACCCTGGGGGAGAAAATCAATGCAAGATACGCAACTCCAGCTACGTCAATAGGGTAACTGGAGTCCACGTACCTTGCACTGATTTTCTGAGGTGAACCCATAGTGGGAGGTCGATGGGAGAAAAGCTGCCATTGATTTCCCTTACTCCTCAAGACAGCATGGAGAACCAGCATCAATGGCAATCGGGGCTTTTTTTGCGGAAAAGCGCGTCTAGATTGGCACGAACACTTTTTCGCAAAAAGTGCTTTTGTGGAAAAGCGTCCGTGCCAATCTAGACGCTCGGTTCCGAAAATGCTTTTAACGGAAAACTATTCCGTTAAAAACATTTCCGGAAAATCATGCCAGTCTAGACATAGCCATATGATTTATAATGGGGTGATGTTGCAGTGTGTCACAGGCCACACTCACTTCCAGCTCTGCCACATTTCCTCCCTCAAATTCAGAAAATGCCTAAAATGCAGAAAAATATATTTCCCATAGAACGTCCAGAAGTGGGAGACGATGCTATGTTTGCACCTTCTT